GTTTCTGGTCCATTTTTAGAATAACCCTCATCTTTTACATGCTGCTCTTAGCAATAACACAACTTTTGCTAGTTTGAATGTGATTATCTAAGCTACTGACAAAAATCACCTCTAAGAATTTATATCAGTTTTACTTTCACATTTGCTTTGATTTGACAGAGGACAATTTTGAGTTGTGAGGTAAAAGATGAATAAAGTCACCTGAATTATCAGAGTAGAGGTCCTTGTTATTTGTAGGCATTAACATTGGCCCATGAGAACAGATTAAAATCACAAGGTTCCCAGATTGGAAAGGACAAGATGTTATTCAATATACGTTCTCATGTACAAAAACAAAGGTCATGATGCAATACTGAGCCAAAACAACAAAAAAGAAATTACAACAAGGAATTTGAGAATAAAGAATTATATAAAGTAACATGGTACAATTTTCATTACTGAAAATCTGTAAAAATTGTGTAGACACAGTCCTGTTGTTCACACTAGGGTATGGCTGTGTTGCCCAGGCTGGCATCTTACCTTACTCTCCTGCATGCTTGAATGGCAAGCATGCTCTGTCAAGCTTGGCCCAACACTTTTCTTGGTTGTGGATGTCTGATTACTAGCTCTTCTGGAAGATAAGTGCTTGTCAGGACAAAGACTCCTTGATGTTGTCTTCAGATATCCAAATGAAGAAACTTATCTCTGAATTAAACAGTGCACCAGGAACCCCCAGGTGTGGTGGCGGAGATGGCAAGGGGATCATCTGACAGTGTAGACAGAAGCAGACAGACTCGGGATGCGCTCCCGTCTGTTGCTGGGAGCAGGATTCGTTACAGCTGCCTCTGACAGCCAACCATTGAGGAGTAGGGAAGGTACTGGGCTTCTGTATCCCATTGCTTTTTAAGGACACAACTCAGAAATCCAGTGTGGTTTTCATCCTTCATTTGTCCAGAAGGTGGTTGTCATGTTACTCCAGGCTGCAGAGACACTAGTAAATGAAGCCTTTACCTGGTAGGCATGTTCCAGACTAACATGCAAATGCTGTCATAGAAATTAGAAATTAAAAATGAAATGCAAGGGGGGAGAGTGACTGTAGATGCACAGTTGCAATTCTCTACCACTCATGGGAGTTTCCATATTTGGACATAAAACAGTGCAGCATCAGTATGGGCTATGGCATGGAGGTCCAGCGTTTGCCCAGCATAAGAAGGCTGAGACCCATCCCTAGGTCAGCAGTAAATAATATGTAATAAGTCAGTAAAAATGTAAATTTGACATCTAGTTGCTTTACTAAAGATTTTAATATTTCCATTTTTCAGGTGGAAAGTCATGCAAAAATGCTGATGGGCAGACAGTTCATTGTTCTGAGTGGTAGCCATTTTCTCAGCATCTTTCAAGATGGGGTAGCTAGAGCTCACTGGAATCTGTTTTCTATATTTGAGAAGGCAGTGCAGTTAGACAGGTTCCCTCAACTGTGGAGTCAGCTTGAAGAGCAAATCCCTGACCTGTAGGTTCCCGCTGGGTCTTGGGGAACAGATTTTATGATGCAGCTTTGCATTAGGTAAGGCTGCCACTGCCCGGAGTCAGTTTCACCCACAAACAGGCGAGCTGGCCCATGCAGTGGTGGTTACCTGTTACTTGGCATCTGTCTCTTGCTTGTCTCCCAGGCTCTAAAGCATGCCGTGTCCACCTAAGTCAGATTACTACTCCCACGTGTTTCTAGAAGAGCCATATGGCTGCCACTTCATTATCTTCCTTCCTCATTTTCTTTCAGTGTGGAGTGAGGGTACATCCATTTAATGAGTGCTATGTTTGATGCAGAAACTCTGGACAGACGAGAGCCGAGGAAAAGTGGTGGAGACAGCTGAGCGTTTGACCTTGAACCTAGAGGGGTCATACTGGAAGCAATGTGGAGTGCTATAGCACTTCTCGTCAGGCCTTGGAAGCATAAGCTGGGTTCTTGCTTTTACAATTGCAACTGAGTGTATGCATTTCTGTGGAGAGTAGTAAGCCAGAATTGTATCATGCTTTGTTTAGAATGCTTGCAGCTGAGAGTTACTATTCCCGGGAAATATGCCTTTCCAGGCCAGGATTTTATTTGGTATCTGTACTGGAAATTTCACCGTGTCAGACTCAAACTAACCATGATTTTTAGCTCAGACTGCTTCCAGAATTTGTTCAGAAATAGTTTAGATATTAAAACTGTAACTGTCAAATGGTTCCCCTTTTTTTTCCATGTCCAGAATTTCTTTTTTCCTTCTAATAAGGCAAGCTGATATTTGCCAACTACCAATAAAGGAACTGAGGGGCAGAGAGATTGCACAAACGTTCATGTTATTAAACCATCTCAAGGAGAGGAGCCACCAGCTCCTAAAGTCATTATGACTAATGTTATGCTAACAAAAGAGTTAGTATTAGAGCTGCTCTGGCGTTGTGGCCTGATGCTGTGTTCTCAGTAGTCACACGTCAAGGACACACAGCAGTGGTTTCTTTTCACTCATCTTTGGGTCAAAGTGGACAGCGCTGTTGATGTTTGCCCTTCAGGTTGGGTCTGCATCTGCCCCACACTGCTCCATGTGGGTGGGCCAGCGGCAGACTGAGGCAGGGACAATGGCACAAGGGGACAGGTAGGTAGGTACATCAGTCCTTCAGACCAAGGCGGGAACTGTCATTCCGGTCCACATTTTTGAGGTCAGGGCATGCCGTATGTTCCAGTGTAGAAACACAGGCAAGGAAGCAACAGAAGGCCCCGACTTGATGGTCACCTTGAGGGCCTTTGAGCATTCAGACGCAGGATGGCACTCATAACCGTTCCATTTCCCTCTGTTGTTCGATGTTGCATTTGTTATAAGGAGGACGTTGAGCTCAGATTCTGTGCGTATTTAATGCAGGCTGGGATAAGCTCTGCTGTTCCACAGTTGGGTGTAATAAGTACATTTTTTTAAGCTGGGGGTAGGTTCATTGAGCTGTAACCCCATGGTAAACAGAACATGCCTATGTAGTCTGCTTCTGTAGATGGACCTGCAGAGCTACTTGGCAGAGAGCACAGGCACAGGAAGGGAGGAAATTGGGAATTCTTTAATATGATAATTGCCTATTTTTTCCTGTTGATGACTAAAACTTAAGGCTCACTCATTCTTTCCATGCCAGTGTGCTGCCTAAGATTTGTGATGGAATTGCACAAATGAAATAAATCCCTGTCTGTGATGCTAACAGAAGTAAGCATAAGAGCACTCAACAAGCTTGTCCCTTAGGACCTCAAATTATATAAGAGCTGTAAAATTTCATCATTATCATAGTTTTTTATGTTATTAGAGCGATTAAAAATCTTGCTGCAAACACTAAAGTAACTAGTCTGTGTGTGTGCTTGCTATTAATCTGTTTAAAATTAATTTATGAGGATTGAAGATAAAATTCAACAGTGCTGCTAAAATTATATTGCTTTGTTGTAAAGAAAGAGAATAAAGATCTGGAATCATTTGACAGTTAACAGTTTTTAGTATCTAAACAATTTCCTCACATGTGTGAAGCCTTGAATTCAATCTCTAATACCAAAGAAGTTTCTATCCAACTGAGTTCTTTCAGACTTAGGATTAATCATAAAACATGTGTGAACAATTTGGTATTTCCTGATTAAAGTAGAAATTAGACTATTTTTTCAAGTAAACATGACGAATAAAAATGTCCAACTTACTATTGCTAGTATTCTGTATTGCAGTGGTTGTAAAATGGAAACTTGAGATTTGATTGAAAATGAATGAAGGGTGCTTATTTAATGGTATCTCAGACATAGTGTATATTAATACATTATAGGAAGCATGGGGGGGGGAAAAACTTCTTGGGATACAACAGCAACCAATGGTACACTCCTTTTTTGGGAAGCCACCCAATCCAATGTTACATTTATAATGCAAAGCAGTGATATACAAATAGCAATTTGTAGCAGACTAGGATAAAATGTTCCAAAATTATAAAGGGCTGGAAATAGTTCCTTTCCTCTACACAGAATTTTTTTTTTATCACAGCTGATAATGGTCCAAGTGCTTCCCATGTTCCCATCATTTCTTCAACCCCCAGTGACCTGGTGAGACATTAGTTATGCTCTGCCTGTTTATAGAGAAGGAAACAAGTATAAAGGACTTCATATGTTTTTGATTTTCCTAAGGTTCTCTATATTGCCATTAAAAGCAAATAAATCTGGGCTGGAGAGATGGCTCAGTGAGTAAAGTGGTTGACACACAATCATGAGGACTTGTGTTCAAACCCCAAAACCCACATAAAGTACATGGCTGTAGTTCCAGCAACTCATATGGTAACTTGGCAAGTAGAAACAGGGGATTTCCCAGGAGCTTGCAGCTTAGCTAGCTAGTTTTAGGGAGTACACAGTGGTGAAGAGGGACTCTGTCACAGAAAACATAGAAAGTGAAGCCCAGCAGCCAGGATTGTGTCTGATCTCCCCCTGCCCTCTGTGCCTGAACTCATACACATGACTACACATGACCCACGCGCACACACACTCACACATGCACACACTCACACACACTCACACACCCGCACACACACACACTCCTCCCTCCCTTTTTCCCCTCTTTAAAGCAAGGAGACTGCACCAGCTTTGGGCCTGACAGTTAGCATTCAGTCTGGCATCCAGCATTTGCAGAGCTGCTCCTCCAGGGCAGTCCCAGACAGTGCCTGTCATAGCTGTGCTCACGTAAAGTCTCTGAGCCTGTGTCCTCGTGTGTGAAATAGCAGTGGTTATACCTAGCCTATGTCTCAAAGCTCCTGATGGATTTGTTTGCTCACTGCTGTGTGTGTCACTATTGTCTGGAACACTGCCATGTAACTATTTGTTGAAAGGACAAGTGGAGTAATACAGTGACAGTTAGGGAGTGGCTTCAAGGGTAGATGCCATGCGTGGCACACAGGATGGTAAGTGCAGGCACTAGCCATGTGGAAGAAGTGACCTGCCAGTGACCCACACATTTGCAATACTTATCCCTCTCATTTGCTTTATTCAGGGACGCGCTTCTCTCACAGAAGAGAAAGAGGTGTTTGCCCATGAACATGAAGAAATGAAGAACCTAGAAGCTATTGTTCAAAAAATTAAACCAACTGCCCTCATAGGTAATTTTCCCCCTTTTCCTTAATGTGGCCTATCGCATTGTTTTGCTTTTTTCAAACTCCAACCTGTAGAATCCAGTAAGGAAATGGAGTCACTTAAGTTGTGGGGTCCTCACAGGCACTGAGCTGTAATTCAGCTCTGCCTTCCTAGTATTCCTGGTTTGAGCTGAGGTGTGTGGCCTTTGTACTGTGTCAGCCTGCTAACATCTGCCACAGTCAGCCCTGTTCCAGGCTTCATTACTCCAGGCAGACAGTCCTTTTAGAATGTGCTGGGAACAACCCTCTCTCCCACCCCAAACACTGGTCTATGCCTGGAGATTGTTATTAGTTGTCATCAATGTGAAGGGCATGTGGAGGATGTGGAAGAAGAAAGGGAAAGGAAAGGAAAGGGAAGAGAGGGGAAGGGAGGGGAGGGGAGGGGAGGAAGGGAAAGGGAAGACTAACTGACATCCAGTGGGTAGAGGTCAGAGAGTGATATTGGTAAAAAGTCTTGTGGTGCATAGGGCAGCCTTGCCATGGGGAACCATGACTGCAGGGTATAGTTATGCCGTGGGGAACCATGACTGCAGGGTATAGTTATGCCGTGGGGAACCATGCCCGCAGTGTATAGTTATGCCGTGGGGAACCATGCCCGCAGTATACAGACACACTGAGATCCAGGGCTCTGAACAAGTCTTCCTAGAAACAGGGCATGCCCTTCACCTGTCATTGCATTCTTCCTCAGTGTGATGTGCAGTGTACAGCTGGGCTTGTTGTGCACACCTACCGTCCCAGCCCAGCTTTGGGAAGTGGAAACAGGAGGACAGGATAGGAGCTCAACATGAGCTATATGAGACCTTGTTTTAAAAATCCATGGAAGAGATGCTTAATATATTCAGATCCTATGCTTAAAATCTCGAAGGAAGTTACTGCAGCTTGTTCCTATTCCCATGTGTGTCTGTCGCTTCCAGTCATAGTCTGTTCTTAGAAGTTCATTTGTGATAGTTGATGGTATTGTGGATTCTGATCCAGCATCATGAAGAACTGTACCAAGCTTTGGGTGTGTTTTGCACAGTGCATTCTATAGTACCTACTACTTTTCATTATGTTAGTTGTTTTATTCTGCTTTCCAGTTTCACAACAGGATGAGATGATTGTCAACATTGCCTGTAAAGACACAGTTACCACAGTTTATTCAAGTTGCCAAGAAAGAATGTAGTAGATTTAATACATTAATGGTTTAATTTCCTGATACAAAAGCTTGTAACCAGAGCTCCTAATGATTGACTAGGAACTCTGTATTGAGTCTGAAGTTATACCTGTGGTTTTTAAAGGCACTTGTTGACTTTACCCTAAAGATGGTTGGCCTTGAGCAACATTGTTTCACCGCTAGACTTGAGTGTGAACATTCTGTACTTTGTTTAGGGCCTGTTAGAAAGGAGCTGCTAATACCAAGCCTCTGGGACAAATTAACCAATGACTCTCCTACTCTCCCATTTCTTGTTTCTTTTTTAGGAGTTGCTGCAATTGGTGGTGCTTTCACAGAACAAATTCTCAAGGATATGGCTACCTTCAACGAACGGCCCATCATTTTTGCTTTGAGTAATCCAACTAGCAAAGCCGAGTGTTCTGCAGAGCAGTGCTATAAAATGACCAAGGTAAACAGTCAAATGGTGGTTGATTTCAGGAAGCCTAGGATGCCCAAGGTGTCGATCATGTACACTTGACATAAGACCCGCTCCATCTAAACTGAAAGATGCATGAACACACTGAAGGCGTGACTTCCTCATCTCCCTCAGGGTTGGATCACTCTGTTCATCTTCAGTAAATCAACCAACTTTGTATGTTTTATTGATAACTCTCCGGGAGTGATTCGGAAAGTAAGACTTAAATATACAAAATGAAGGGGAAAGAACATAGTCTTGAATGGTTCTGAAGCTATCTTTAACTAGCTATTCCCAAGCACCGAAGCATACAAAATGAAACCACAGTTTAGTTTTTACTTAGCTCAATTTTGGGTTTGGATTTTGCTGCCATGGGTGGAGGATCTGGGCAGCTATGCTGATACCCAGCCTGGCTGGCATAGAATCCTTAGTGCTCAGTACTTCACTGTTGTAAAAATAAAAAGTTAATTTTATACCGTGTTTGTACTAGCATATACTTGACTGATAGGTTGGCAGAAAGCCTTCTGCTCTCCTCAAAGACTTGAGAATATTATAACAAAAATGAAATTAGTTTTATGTATCTACATCCTTTATTTTGGAAATATAAAATAGAGAGGGTAAACAGCATAGTGTTGTGATCCTGTGTATAAGCCAAAGCCTGTAGGCTCTACTTTGTAAGTAACACGTCAAGTGCTCATCACTGGGAGAGTCATGTTTTTAATAAGGAGCCGCTCCATGGTTTCTCTCTCTTATCCGGGATGGTATCACCACCCTGAGTAATTTTAGTCTTTATGTCATTGAGTTTTCTTTACATTTTTCAATAGCTTTAAATTCTCAAGGGAATGAAACACAACCTTTTGAGCAGAATTAAAATCTAGTACCATACATACACATAGACCCCTGATAAGCAAGTGTGTAATTAATTATTGTGTCTTTGTGTATCACAACCGTTCTTGTTAGCGTAGAGGCTCCTGTCATACACAATGTTAGCTCAATTTTACATTGTTTTAAACTTTCAGTGTGTCAGAAATAGATGACCTCGGCCCTTTCTTAAGAGCTGCAGATTCATACAGAGAACAGTGACAAGCATCCCTTCCTGACCCGTTGGCAGCACCAGCTGCCCACCAACAGCTGGGCCCACGAGGAGTTAAGCACCGCCACTCCTTAGCCTGCCTGTGGATGTCTGTTATGGTCCACTTGTTCTCAGATACCCAGTTCTCTTTCTCATAGATCCGTATGTCTGTGTTGCAGGGTCGTGCGATCTTTGCCAGCGGCAGTCCCTTTGATCCAGTCACCCTTCCAGATGGACAGACGCTCTTCCCTGGCCAAGGCAACAATTCCTACGTGTTCCCTGGAGTTGCTCTTGGGGTGGTAGCCTGTGGGCTGAGACACATCACCGACAAGGTCTTCCTCACCACTGCCGAGGTACTGTGAAGAGCAGGCGCATACTCAGGCAGCATCTGCTCAGCTCAGTGTTTTCTTTGTTTGGCGTCACAGCTGTCTGTCAAGTGTGAAGAACTCTTAGTAGAGAATTAGGAGTGGGGAGCAGGTCCATAGGAGTCGCTGGTGAGATTCCTCCTCAGTGGTTACATTTCATGGAGGGAAACTTTTATTGCCTTTAGCTACCAATGAACTTTTACGACCTCAGCGAAACAAAAGTGTTCTTTTCTAAATGGTGATGAGTAACATTTCTTCATTGTGAGCCTTCCTAAAGAATGGCCTTTTAAAGTCTGACATAGTATAGTAGAGATGTCTGTCATTAATGTTTCAGGGCAGAAAATAGAAGCCACACTAGTATTGAAGCTGAAACGAAATTAACACAGGGCATTACATGTTTATCTGATCACTAGAGGGGCTGCTGAGAAAGTTCAGTGGGTAAAGAAAGCTGTTTGCTGCCAATATTGAGACCCTGAATTCAGTGTTCAGGACTTACATAGTAGAAGGAGGAAAACATCTCTCAGCTTGGTCTCTGACTTCCTCAGGTGTGCAGTATATATGTACCCCCACCACCATAAATAGGTAAAAATGTAAGGATAGTTTTAAAAAAGATTTATTTATTTAGCATAGCATTCTGCCTGCATGCATGCCTGAAGGCCAGAAGAGGGCACCAGATCTCGTTTCAGATGCTTGTGAGCCACCCTGTGGTTGCTGGGAATTGACAGCCTTAACCCCTGTGCCATCTCTCCAGCCCCCATAAAGAGTTTTTTTATTGGTAGGAAAAGTTGGTTCTCTCCTGGGATTTCAGGAAAGGTCCCCAGGCTGTCACAGAGCCAGAGAGTCATGTACAGTCGAGAACTGATTTTACCCAAGTGCAGACTAATATGTTAGCCATAGCTTCGTAGACACTGGCAGAGAGTATGAAACCCCAGCTCAGAGACAAAGAGCACAAGGCCCTGTGAGCTTAGTGCTGTCCTCAGCCCCCTTTGCATCCTGAGCCTCGGTGGTGGTGACAGTGGGTGGTCATATATTTGTAAACCACGAATGTCAATTTCTCTCAACAAATTAAACACTGTATAACATCCATAATAGCTGTACTGAGCCAAAGGAAACCTGGTTGGTCTAAAGCATGTGTCCAGCAAACCTGCTGTTGTTTGCACTGAAGAGGAATCCCAAGAACAGGTGCAGATTCCAGAGTCACTGGTGTGATCAAAGACTACAGCCTGGCTAGCACCTGCCTCACACTGTGGGGTAGATGCCTGGAAGCCATAGCATTCTGCAGGCATTTCTTCACAGGTTAAAAGTATGACAGCTGGTGTGTCTGGCTTGTTGTTCTTAACTCAAAAAGATTGTTCAATTCAGATAGCTATGCAGTTACTAAGAACATCTTAAGGTTTTTACACAAAGAAAAATATAACCCTTTCTTTTAGGACAAAACAGATGAGCTTGATTGATTCTCTTTAGCCTCTTTTCTTCCTTCAGCTCTAGCACCCTCTAGTGACAATGTCCAAGTAACTACTTTTTATTTCTTATTCACTGATAATAATGATGACTACTGAAGGCTCATGCTTTAATATCAAGTGGATTTCTGTGAGTTCAAGGAGAGTCTGGTTTGCATAGCAAGTTTCAGGCCAGCCAGACACCCTGAATCCCCTCCCCCAATGTTTTTTTTTTCTTTTTGGAAGAAGAAAAAAGTAATTGGGTGTAGTGGCTCACTTGAGAGGTATAGGACTTAAAGCCAGTCTCGGTTACACAGAGAGCTCCAGGTCAGCCTGCACCATATAGGAAAACCCCAGAGCCAAACAGAGGAAGAGAAAATGGTGCTGTGCACAGCCGAGTGAGCTCACCTCTGCAGGGTTCTCTCCGCTGCATCTCTGGCCTTCAGTTCTCTTCTATTTCTTACAACTCTTACCTGCTATTTTCCTTGTTTCTTCATCTCTCTTTTATTTAAGACCAAGTGTGTGTGTCACACACACACACACACACACACACACACACACACACACACATTTTAGGGTGTTTTCTGCTTTGCTTTCCACCTAGTTTTTGAAGACAGGTCTCTCACTGAACCAGGCTTGCTGATTTGGGTGGGGTGGCTGACCAGCAAGGTGTACCTGTGTCTACCTGATCCCTGAGTCCCTGAGCACTGGGATCCTAAGTATATGCTGCAGATCCTTGCCCCCCACCACTCAGGGGCTGGGATCCATCTCAGGTCCTCCTGTGTGCATGAGCACTTACAGACTCAGCCCCAAGGCAATTCTTACTTAAACACTCTGAGGCTGAGTTTTCTTCCTGTTTGGTGTTTGCTCTTGAGAGCTTCAGATTTTAAAATGATTATGTCGTCTCTGTGACTGAGGCCACTGTCTTTACTGCCATTCTTCAGAACACCACTAACAAGGAACAAAGCTCTGGCACACAGCAAAAGCAGTGCATCAACAGCGCTAGCGTGGCAGGGAGGGCAGATCCAGTGCCGTGGGCGCTGGCTGCCAGAGGCCTAGGGAAGGCTGTCTGGATTGTCTGGTTCAGCCAACCAGCTAACTGAAGTAACTTGCTTTATTTGATAAGCCCAAGTCTTATTACTTTTAGTATTATAGCAAAAACAAACAAAAAATTGTTCTAGAGAGATGGTTTGGTGGGTGAGAGCACTGACTGATCTTCCAGAGGACCTGAGTTCAATTCCCAGCCCCCGTGGTGCCTCCCAACCATCTATAACTCCAGTTCCAGGGCGTTTGGCATCTTCTGTCTTCCAAGGGCACCAGACATAGTTGTACGTGGTGCACAGACATGCATGCAGACAAAACAGCCATATATAAAATAATAAAAATTTAAACACTGGTTTGGTCACATAGGAAACTGGAAATCTCATGAATTGGACCAAATCTGAAAAGCTATTTCTGGATTCCTAAAGTTTTATTTTTTATGTGCGTGCAAATATATGTGTGTGTGCTTATGCAGGTGTGGGTGCATGTGTGTGCACAGGTGTGTGAAGGCCAGAGATTGTGAGACAGGCTCCCTCACAGAGACAAGAGCTCACCAGTTGGCTAGACTGGGTAGCCTGGGAGCCAGGGACAGTGGTGTGTGTGTGTGTGTGTGTGTGTGAGAGAGAGAGAGAGAGAGAGAGAGAGAGAGAGAGAGAGAGAGAGAGAGAGAGAGAAGAGAGAGAGAGAGAGAAGAGAGAAATCCTCTTGTCTCTGCCTCCTGGGACTGGTTGTAGGTATGTACCACCACAGTGGGCTTTTACGCAGCAGGAGCTTTGGATCTGAGCTCTTGATTCTCCTGATCATGTGGCAGACATTTTACTCTAAGTCTTCTTTCCAGTCTCTGTTCCTGAGTCTTCTTTCTAATTCTAAAGAGATTTTAACTTTTCTTGTGCTGGTAACCAACAGTGCAGCTCAATTCAGTACCCATCTCTGCCCCATCATTTCTGTTCAAGGCCCAGCCACCAGCTGCCCTAGACCCACCTTGTGAAGTGACTTCATTGTTGAGCTGTGTCTGGATCTAGGGAGTGGCTTGGGGAGAGAAATGGGGAGATGGGTTAGATAAGCTGATAACCAAGGGCTGGGTAAAATTTACGTCCTTCTTGGAGTGGAACCGAGCCATCTTTCCTAGTCCCTGCTACTTGCTGTGTGAATGGGAGCGGGAGGAAGAGTGGGTCTGCTTGGCTAACGGCCCCTCCCATGACGCCTGCATCCCGTTTTCTTTTCACCTGTTCCTCTAGGAAATACCTAATTCTTTATGTTAGTGTGAAGGAACTGAACCAAAGGGAACGCGTATGCTCTTGGTGTGATCTCAACAGTTGCCAAGGCTTAGCTTTTCTGTTGACAAGGAAGGGGCATATTAGACAGTCATGTTCATGTGATAGTTTCCAGACATGGCCATTCCTTAGTTATCCGTATATTTACAACACTGGATCATGAGATGTATAAACATTTTTAACCTTTTCTCTTTTAAAGGTCATATCTCAGCAAGTGTCAGACAAACACCTAGAAGAGGGTCGACTCTATCCCCCTTTGAATACAATTCGAGATGTTTCGTTGAAAATTGCAGTAAAGGTAAAAACCACATAGCCTCTTTATTTTTTCTTTCCCTTGCTAAATGCATGCTTGCTTGGCATGTATGTTCATTTTCTAGGACTCAAGGAAATGAGACGTGGTGACGGGAGTGCAGACCTCATCCTCAGAGATGGGTGGGAACACGGGGACTAGTTGTGGTTTTCCCATCCGTTTTCCTCCTCTAACTTATATTTCATTCTGTTTAGGCGGGCTTCTCCCAATTCTCCTTAGTGTAGATGTTCTATGTAGTTGTTTGTATAGTTCCCACAGACTAACCAGAGTGACACTTATACCTGGAGCCCCCTGCCACCTCCCTGTCTGTGACTTAGAGCAGTGGCTCTCACCCTTCCTAATGCTCTGATACTTTAATACGGTCCCTCATGTGGTGGTGGCCCCGACCATAAAGTTATTTTTGTTGCTGATGGTATGCTTTGCGACCCCAAAGGGTGTGCGATGCACATGTTGAGAACCACTGAGGACACAGGTGACAGGTGACGGGGCACGGGGCTCCTTTGGCAGCCTACGAGTCCTGTAGATAGAAAAATTTAAACTCTTGAAGCAGAAGGGAACTCAAGGGCAACTTCATTGGGTTTGAGGGAAAAACAACTGGGCGGACAAGCTGGGGGGGTCTTAGTGGCTGCTGGGAGGCGGTGCTGGGTGAGAGGAAACTAGGCCATCTGAGCTAGGGGTCAGGGAAGCAGGCAAGCTCAGCATGAGCATTGGTGACTGCATATATGGTGTGTGTGTGTGTGTGTGTGTGTGTGTGTGTGTGTAGAGAGGAGGTGAGGAGAGAGAGAGAGAGAGAGAGAGAGAGAGAGAGAGAGAGAGAGATGGGGGAGAAGGAGGGAAGGAGGGTTCTACTTTCCCGGTCAGAACTCAGAGAGTAGGCAGCCCAGCAGTGGGTCTGTAAGTAGTACAGCAAGGAAGGGCTCCCGGGTGACCTCTGTCTTCTAACATGTCTTCATTCCTGTGTGTTGTGTTTCGTTTCACCTTCTGGCTTCATGCTGTTCTTTGTTCTTTCCTTTGAGGTTTATTGTTTGGGGGCTTGGGAAAGGATCAAGTCTTGGAAACTCAAAGCCTGTCCAGTGATACATTTCCTCTAACAATGCCATTCGTTTAAACCTTCCCAAATAGTTCTACCAACTTGGAACCAAATATTTAAACATATGAACAACCTATGGAGATCATTCTCCTTCAAACCACCACACATGGTATTTCAAACTCTAAGGAGGGTGATTTTGATATTTCCCTCTTCCTTACCAGGACCCTAGGAGGTAGGGCTTAGAGCTGATCGTGAAGGTAGGGTCCATCTCCAGTGACCTCCAAGCCTGCTAATGTCTTACTAGCTGCCTAACATAGGACAAGCAGTAAGGACAAAGAACTCAAAAGCAGCCATGGGGACAGATGAGCGACAGCAGGACTTGACCAGGAATCTAAGGCAGAGAAATATTCTCTAACACAGATGAGTGGGATTGCCTTTAATGGTGTGGTTGTATTAGTTTGCCATACCAAGAACCACATTCTGGGTGGCTTACACTAAAAAGAAAAAGAAAAAGAAAGAAAGAAATTGCCTGCCTGCCTATTTATCTCTGTCTCTCTGCCTATTTATCTTGTGTGGAGGTTGTACACCCAGGGTCAACATGTCATTAAGTTTGTCGTCTTCTCAGGTCTGTGTCCTTGGAGTCTTTTCTCTGTCGCTGGCATTGTCGCTGTCCAGTTATCTTCCTTTTAGGAACAGAAGTGAATGGATTAGGGTCATCCTAAGCCATATTTTAACTTTAGGAGTACCACTAGTGCAGGCACCAGCATATAAGCTTCTATGGGTGGAAACACAAAATTGACACCTAACAGTTTTGCTTAAACTGGGGTTGGTTGGCATTTTTAGCCTCTGGCCACTTGGGGGCAGTAGCACCTGCTCAGTTTCAACAGTCTAAAGGTAGCCAGACTTTGTCCAGTCTTCCTGCATACCAAACATCCTGGTTTGCATCAGTCATTTACACTGTTCCAAGTTTATCTAAATAGCACTGTTTAAGATTCTCCTGTTGTTGTCTATCTTGTTGACTGGAGATATATTCCACAAAATCAGCACTTCAAAAACCTTCAACTAATAGTGCGAGTGTCTGTCTTTTATGGAAAAACAGACTCATTTTGTTCTGATCTGTATCAGTTTTTATTATTTATGTACTGTACAGCATGTTACCATTTTAGGTTTATTTTGATAATGAAGTAGCACACAGAAGAGAAAGTAAGAAAACAGGGCAGTAGAGGAAATAGAGACGGCGTGGATTTCCGAATCTGTACCACTTGGAACACCATGCAGCTACTTACACAGAAACTGAGGACTCAAGAGTGAAGATGGGGTGTCAGGGAAGAGGCTGCTGTAGGGGCTGCAAGTTTGAAGTCCCTGGGCATATCCAGATGTCTACTTCTGCTGTGGGGATGAAGATGGCAGAATCAAGGAGACTAGATGGATAAATGTAGTTGTCCTGCAGGTGGTGACTGGAGCAGGAGGCGTGGCTGTGCTTACTGATAGAGTAGTGTGCAAAGGGACTGAGGTGGGAGATGCTTTCTTATTGTCCAGAAGACAGAAGAGAGATCAGCAGAGACTTGGGCATTCAGGCCAAGTAAACCAGCAGCAGGGCACGTAAGCCTGCCTGAGAACTTAAATGCTGATAACACTTACATCACTTAAGTTTCTACTGCTGAGGCGTTCCCTGGTTGCTAACGTCATTTCCCCCTTTAACTACATACGATTTATAGTTGCATTTTCATCTTCTTTGTTTTGCATGTGGCTTTTTACTATAGTACAAATTAAGCATTTTTGAGATGGATAAAAACCTGATTTGTGTTCAGTATCACCTTCTCACTATTAAAATAATGACTTTCCTTCCTTGTTTCTAGATTGTGACAGATGCATACAGAGAAAAGATGGCCACTGTTTACCCCGAACCCCAAAACAAAGAAGAGTTTGTCTGCTCCCAGATGTACAGCACTAATTATGACCAGATCTTACCTGATTGCTATTCTTGGCCTGAAGAGGTCCAGAAAGTCCAGACCAAAGTCAATCAATAAACACAACAGCTAGAATTTTTAGTTTTACTAATACAATCTTGAAGTTTTCATAATTTCTAAGGGTTGGAATCTTTTATTATAATTCATAGTGTGCTTAGAATAAGGTGACCTTAGTTTAACAATCAAACCCATGAAAGTATATTAATTAGGATAAGCTTCACACTGGACTGTTTTGTTTCACTTACTCTGGTTATTTAAGTTTTCTGTTTTCATTATTCTCTTTACAAATTCTGCTGAAAAGCTGTTGTATGTGCTACTGAGAAACTCATCACTGATAATGTAGGGAGTTGATGGAAGACCCAAACTGTAATAAATTAATATAGTGTAACTTGATCTCGTTAATGACTACAGTTCTTTTTTGACCATATTGCAAAAATCCTTTAAAAAGTAAAGATGAACATAAACTTAGGCATAGCTGGACTTTTACTAAATGGAATGCTGGCTACTTGTCTGCCTAGAGAAAATTCTTCTCAGGACTTTTAGTCCAGGCCTCTGCTAACCCTGTTCTTTTTGCACAACGGAAGGCTTCAACAGCTGGAAGAAAGCTAACTGCTGTTTACAATACCTGTGCAGCCTTAGACCCTAATGTTCTCTTGTCATTGTTACCTCCCAGAGAGTAAAGCTCTCATTGCTGTTTTTGATTCCCACACTCTGCAAAAGCTCTTTCCCTCATCTGTGACCAAATGCTCCCAGCTCCCGGCCCCGCCGAAAGACTAGGAGGTTCTGTTAGTGCGGCCTGGGCAGTGAGAAAGGCTGCCAGGAGGGTCCTTGCCAAGGGGCTCCCTGAGAAGTCCCCTTCCAGGACACGGGTGTCTGAAACAGGACTGTGGTTCCCAGAAAAGCTAGAGGTCCATGAGAGTCACCTTCCCTGATGTCCCTGTGGTTATCTCAGGTCACTGAGAACTCACAGCATGAGTGACTACATCTCCGATGCCTAGCCTTCCATCAGATAGTAAAATATGTTAATTTCCAAAACCATTCTATGTGGAAGACAATGACCATTTCCCCAGGTTGTACTAATTTACTGGAATGAAAATGAATAGAATCCACTGTCAATTCCTAAGCTCAGGTTGGAGAGCTCTTGTGGTTTTGAAGTGATGCTTTAATATCTGTACACTCTTCCAAGATGGCAACTCTATAAAGTGTCCTCGACGGTGAAGGCTACACAGGTTCTTTCAAGTTTGGGGTAAAAGAGTGGAGACTTTCTAATGGCAACTTTTAGTTTCCTCCATGTAGTTTTTGGGAAAGATTCAGAATTCCTATTTCTTGTCTGTTTCCATGTTGTCAAATAGTTTTAAGTGATGTATTTACCTATACAAAAGATTTATTAAAGCATAGAAAACATGAACAACATTGTAAATAATTGTCATGTTTCTTCAGCTATTGCTGCCCTTCACAGTGATAATGCTGGGTCTTGGAAGATTATTTGAAAAGTTATTATGATTTTTTTTTTTTTTTGAGACAGGATTTCTTTGTGTGTAGACCTGGCTGTCCTGGAACTCACTTTGTAGACTGGCTGGCTTCGAACTCACAGAGAGATGCCTGCTTCCTCCTCCTGAGTGATGGGATTAAAGGCCTGCACCACCACTGCCTGGATTATTAACACATTTTAAAAAGATTTAGTGTGTGTGTGTGTGTGTGTGTGTGTGTGTGAATGCACACACATGTGCCCATGTGCTTTTGCCCTTTGCCCTTGTTTTCTTTGGTGCCCACAAAGGCCAGAAGAGGGTGTCAGATCCCCTGGAGCTGGAGTTACAGGTGGGCTAGGAACTGAACTGGAGTCCCCTGGAAGAGCAGCAGGTGTTTGTAACCTCTGATCCATGTCTACAATTCCAAGTGATTACAAAGTTTTAAAATATTCTAAGAACTGCTTATTCCTGTCTAGACATCATTTAGCATGTCTGTAAGCATATGTGCTAGGTATTGTGAGTAACCTCTCCCTGCTCTTAGGAAAGATGGTGAAGCAGACATTAGACGGTTACACACACACACACACCCTCCCCCCCGCACATCAAGCACTGCAGTATAACATCTCATCCATGGCATCCCAGTGACTTCCTTATGAGGCTGATGGTGTCAGTCACAGAGCTCATAAGCAAAGGAGACAGGATCTGAGTCCACATTTACCTGTCTTTATGTTCTCTATCTTTTTGCTAGTCTACTGCAGCGCAGCACAGCACCTCTGTCACAAGTATGTGCTTTAAGTTTTCCAGAAGCTTCGTAAAACAGTTGGAATTCATGTTAATATTATTAAACCAGTATACTTAAAATATTATTTCAAAATATAATGTAAAAATTATTGAGGTGTTTTGGGGGGTTATACCAAGTGATTCAAAGGCAGTATTGCTTTACCCTGATCAGTCAGTTCAGACCAGCCACAGGCTGGCCTTTTACCCCACACCTCCTGCCTGCTCTATCAGCCACCCAAGTGCTGGGTTACCAGTGTGTGCCATCACCCCCAGCATGAGACTATAGTCTTCTGTGGGGTTCCTTAATAGTTATCTTACTCCACAAACAATCCATACACTTAGGACAATCCTATATGGGTGAGGCTATGCTAATTGCAAGGTTTACACTATAAAAGCATGCTGCTAGCTTACACTCAATGTTCTCAGGACAGAGAACAATTTCATTTTGTAGTGCTACCATCTTTATCTTGTGGATTCCACAGTCATCCAAAAGACAAGACAACATAGAGCATTAATGCAGGGGTGTCAGGAGCGGTCTTTGCGGGGCTGCAATCGGAGGCAGCCTAGCAGCCCCGAGTCCATACCTGAGTGGGAGAGTGTGGATGAGAGAAAGGCTAGCTGTAGACAATAAAGAAGGACAGACAGACAGACAGAATACGGTCAAGAGGGCAGATCAGTCGATACCGAAATGCCACGAGTTTATTTTTCACCACTCTTATATACCTTAACCAAAAAGGGGAACACGGTATCATGTATATGGAAAAAACAGACTTTTCTTTCTCACTTAGACTATTCTAAGGGTTCAGTAATCTCACCTTAGCTCCAACTTCTTGTTCCCTATCCTTGAGGTCAGGAGTAGCCACACCTCAGATTTACCTCCTCCTTCCCTAGCCTTGACAGTCAAGCATACCTCAGATTCAAGTCTGTTGTTATGTAGACTAAGATGGCTGAAGCATTCTTCTTTGACCTTTAGGTCTTGTGACTTGCTGAATGCTTTAACTTTCTGCCCTTGTGCCAAGATGGAAAAGATGGAGTACAGCCATCTTTATGGGCACCCACACGGGCTTTTCCCCTGCCTTGTGCTGGCTGTCACTGCTGTCACTCGGCCACATGGCTGCAGCACAGAAGCACGCTGTTGGTTTTTTGTTTTGTTTTGTTTTTTTACCCAGGGCTGCAAGAAGAAGATAGATAAACCTGTAGCCTAGTGAGAGGAAGCTAGCAAATTCCAAGGAACAGATATTGGTTAGCTTTCCAGGTCAGACTGTCCTTCATTTAACTTCACTTTTTGGTCTTTCATTCCCCCCTTTTTCTCTTGTCAATAGTTCTAATCTTATAACTATGGAAATTAAGAGGCAGCCTCCTCTTGGCTCCTGTACTGCTATCTAAGCACCATAATCTGGACAGCACTCATAACAAAAGTAACAATTTTTCCAATAATAAGCAACAAGAGAGAAATAAAAAGGGGCAGTTGTAAGAGGCTGTCCCTGGGTTCTATAACCTGGAGTGGCGTGGGGGTAGGTCCAGAGGAGGAGGACCGAGTCTTAAAGTTTCTGTGCGGTGACATTAATGTAATCTGGATCTCCAACTTGGAAGTGATGTGAAACTTTCAAGTCTCCCGCCGTGTAGGTTTCCCAGAGTTGCTTCCACGCTCGCTGCTGTCTCACCCACTCGAGCACCTTAAGCCTAGCAAACAAAGGCTTAAGAGAACAGCACATCAGCACTATGTACAGAGGCAATTTCCACCAGTGGAGGGACCCCCCATACAGCCATTTATAGGGGTTCAACCTAAATGGTACAGGGGTGTTTCTAACCCTAAAAAGCATAAAGGGTAGGAGAGCTATCCAATCATTAACGCCAGTCTCCGTGGTCAATTTAGTGAAGGTCTCCTCAATGGTTTTATTTATGCTTTCTACCCGAGCTTTGGGGTCTGTATGAACAATGCAATTTTAATCAATCCCCAATATCTTGGCCAGTGACTGACTTACCTGGGCAACAAAAAAGCTGGACCATTGTCTGATTTTACTACCTTAGGTATTTTAAATCTTCAGAAAATTTTCTTTCTTCAGTAATTTTTTACCCACACGGTTGAGACAGTCCCATGCAGCTAACAGATGAAAAAGCATACCTGTTGCCTGTTAGTGTTTATGGACTTCTCTTTGTCTAGCAGTACCACCGCCCCAGCCCTTTCTTTACCTTTTACAACATAACAGCTCTCATCAGTGAACCAGTCAACATCTCCCCAGCCAGCAGGATGTCCTTAAGATCTTTGCAAACATCAGTCTCTTTAACCAACAGTTGATGGCAGTCAGGAGTCCCTGGTTCACCAGTCTCCTCAGGCAGAAGAGTGGCGGGATGAGGCTGGCTGGTGGAGCTAATGCAATCCCCGCTCAGTCTCTCCGTGAGAAGCAGGCTTTGGTGGTGAGACACGCTGGCGTTGGTCATCATCAGTCGGCGGCTGCCAGACAATGCTCTCCAATGCATGGGGGCTATTATAGTTGCTTTATGCCCCAAAGTCAACTTGTCAGCAGCGATAGCTTTTTAGACAGCCAGGCCCTCCCCTGGCTACAGTATCAAGCTTCTTTGGCAGATAAGCAACTGGTCTATTCCACGGCCCTAGGGATTTGGTCAAAACTCCCCAGGCGACCCCCTTACGCCTGTCCACATAAAGGGTAAAAGGTTAGTTACATCAAAAGGCTTAGAGCGGGTACTTTCAACTGGGCCTTCTTAATGGCATCAAATGTCTCCTGATGCTCTAAGGTCCAGGAGAATTTTTTTCTTAGCCTGCAAAACCCAGATGTCCCCAGAAATTCTCTTAATTGCCTGGCCATCGTTGGGGAATTTTAAACCCTTGGAACAGTCGGGTCCAGATGAGCTGCCCAGTTCTGCATGTGTCAGAGTTCTTCCATTCAAAGGCAAAAAAGCAGTTGGCTGGTGGGATGTAACCTCGAACCAGTGGGGTACCCGGCCCATGCCAAGGTCCACTGTTCTTCGGGTAGTCCATGAATTACATTGGGCTCGGGGAGGGGGTCCAAACCCCGTCTCCCTTTAATTTTATCCTTTCTTAGGGCTAGGACCTTTGAGACCTTGTCTTCTTAGAATAGTCATTTGCCAAGTGTCCTTTTTCTTTACAATATGCACACTGGTCCTC